GGAGAACATTTGGAAAAAAGGTTATTCTAAGTTAATTTTTTGCCAAAATATTGTATTTAAATAAATTTTTTTGTCCTAATGTCCTTAAAACAATTTTATACATGTATTCTAATCTAAGTGACCCTAAATACCATGAAAATTATACATTTATGCGCTTTTTTAAAATCAGGGTTCCGAACGTAGTCGGATACCTTAAAGTAGCTGTATACCAGCTGTCAAAAAGACATTTAAAGTTGAGAAATTCGCAAAAAAATTCAATATTAAGTATGAAGGAATCTACCCCAAACCGAAAAACATGTCAAGAGGTCTATAAGACAAAAAATTTATTGACTTCTGATGTAAAAGAACACAATATATAATGTGCCCTATATCTTAAATGCTAAGCAAAGACAGCTTTTACAACCTTTTAATCCTTCGTTACATTTTACCCTCTTTCAAATTACCCATTCAACATTATCTTTTAATTTTACTTCCAGAAAAAAAAAACAAATATAAGTTAAGTATGTTTCATTAAAGCAGCAGAATTGATTACTGCCCAGACGTCTTCCTATCAGTAAGTCCTATCTTCGAGTATAAAAATCCTAAGTCGGACAAATCTGGGTTAAAACACACAATGCTTCGAAATTGTATCGTTCCAGCCTCAAACGAGCTGGTGAGTGGCTGTAAAAAGTGATGAGACAAAAGACTCACAGATAGAGATCTTCTGCCGATCTCCGAAGAATAGAAAGTGTTCTCTGTTCCAGAGGATTTTTTCGTTCTCGGGTATTCGTCGTAAAAGAGTGGGGTTCGGTTGTTCGTCCTTTCATGCTCTGTTAAAACAGAACGTTCATTGTTTTTCCTCTGACTTCCGATATTCTGAACGTAAAACCCATCGGTAAGAAAAATGGGGATCGTTTAATGCACGTTTCGAATGGAATTCGGTTGTGGTGAAAAAAAAAACCGGTTGTCATTGTTTTTGAGAAAGTGTGGAGTTGTGAAAGTGGATAGCACATGCGGGTTTTTTTTATCTCGATGATTACTGTAGAAATTTATGAAAGAAGTTTGGAGAGCGAGATTTGAGATAAGATTTCACAAGAGTGAAAAAAAGTTTAGATCTATTTCTCGTTTTCTTCCTTTTTCCACTATTATTTGCAGAAATAGTAACTTAAAACCATAATTATTAGTTTTACAATAAACATGAGATAGTGAACACAACTCAACGAATAAGGAGTAGGGGGGGGGCTCAGAAAATATTTATTTACGAATATCTTTTGTGCATTAAATAAATAAATTTTCTGTAAAATCATTTATATAAACTGAGTTTGTATTTTCTATGTTAAGGAAAATGTTTAAATTTATTTAATTTTCATTCTAATATTTTGATTTGTCTAAGGATTGTAAACTTCACGCGAAAGGAAAGATTATAATTCCAGTAGTTACATATGTATGTATCTATGCATATAGGAAAAGGACAAAACAAAAATTCAATCACTCATCATATCTGGAATTATTAAACACAATGACTTTAAATTTGGCAGGCATATTTCTTTTGTTGAATAGAGATCCGTTAAGGACGGGTTTTGGAAAAATCGATTCCCAGGAGGAGGCTGTGAGGGTGTTTTGGAAAAAAATCCAGTTTTTAAACTATTAGACCTACAGACTTTATAATCTGTTACAGATGTTTATTTTATTGAATGGAGATCCATTGAGTGGAGATCGGGTTTTGCGAAAATAGGCTTTCAAGGGGAAGGCTGATCCAAGGGATTATCTGAAGATGTCTTGAGACATCAATGAATGTTAGCAAGGAAATAAGAGATGGTTCTGAAGCAATCTAGAGTGTAATATCAGTGGCGTAATGTACACCCCCCACGGGGGGGGATGCAAAATCCTAAGGGGTCCAAACCTGAGGCACAAAACAGGACTTTGCAGGGAGGGGGGCACTAATAATCTCCGTTACTCCCCTGTGTAAGGTTATGCGATAGGATCTTTGGAAGATATTAAAGTCTAGTTAAAGGAGCTTCAGTTAAAAATAATAAGATAAAAGTAACGTTATAACATATATTTTTTTCAGAATTCCGTTAAGATAACCGCTCCATGAGTTAAAATTTTTTTGATATTTTATCCTCGTCGAATAAAGTGTATATTTAATTTCCATGTTTATTGATTCTGATCCCAGAATGTCTCAAGAGTAATCTTCCACTAGAAATGCTCATATATATGAAGTACATGTGGTCTCTGAAATGTTTAATTTGGATGATGATGATGATGAATTTGGTGTTTTATGGCGCAAGAGCCAGTTTTGGCTATACATACTGCGCCAAACATTCATAGGTCTGTGGTCTGGACGGGAAAAGAAGAAAAGGAGAAATTGGATGACAAGATGGAGGGTAGAAAATAGAGAAGGATCACTGTGGTACCCCGGGGTCGTGACACCCGTGTTTACCAAAGATAGTAAACCCCTTGGGAAAAGGAAAAGATCAGTAGAGTACCTCAGGATTGTGACATCCGTACCCACCTAAAGAAGGTGAGCCTCCTCAGGGATGTTTAATTAGGAAAAGCTACACTCTCAATAATATATTTTAATCAGTAAAAACATATCTCAAAATCTCCTTTATTTTATTTCTGAACATTAACAGACTTCAAACTGTATATTCGGATCACAATCTATTCTAAAAACTATTTTAACAAGTTGTCATAATCTTAGCACAAGATATCGTTTTATGATTTGAATATCAATATCGCTACAATTCGAAATTTTACGAGTAATTTCAAAATGTAATAATAAAAATAAAGAGAAATAATAATATTTAATAATATTTATGTTGTTAAATATAGTCAAAAATAATTTTTATAGTTCAGTTGCAAATTTTATTACTGAGCCACTACTTACAGAAGAGTTGTGAAATGTTTTTTGAATAAAAAGAACTGTTAGTTCTTTATCGTTTCAGAATATTACAATTGCATAAAGACTAATAGAACACTTTTTATTTCCAAACTGCCGCTACATTAAAAACGTTGCAAGTTATCTAATGTCAGTATTCTGAATGTTACGAATCTGGCACAGAAAACAAAGTTAAAAAGGAATTTTTTCCAAACTTACAAATATTATTTTAAATATTAACAATTTTAATCTTAAAAGTTAGCAATTATAATTTAAAAAGTAAACAGCAAAATAATATTTACAATTATAAAAAAATATTCAAATAATAAATACAGTTAGTTAACATAAAATGTGTAAAATAGTAAATTACTAATTCATTTATATAAAATTCATCTTGAAATTTAATAATAATTGTTTTTTAATGTATAATATGCTCTGTACCTTTTTTATTTCTTTTATCCCAGTTTTTGTTTAGTTATTAAGCTGATTTTTTTAAAATCTGATTTATCTAGTGCAGAAAATTAGTTGGCAAAGAAGTGAACAATTATTGTCCCAACAGAAAATTTTTTATTACTATTTATTAGAGTTTTAATTAATATTTGGTAGTTCAGAAGCTGATGGAATAAACAGTATCGTATTCTACCAGCTAAGCTCGAGTTATTTCTTTTTACATTAAATATCGCATAAACATACTGTTTGACTTATCTTACAAGCAATTCTTCTATTTTTCGCATAATATTTCATCACAACTTTCAACGTCAGAGGTTTTCTCTTTCCCAGAATAACTCGACAAATAATGTGTGGTATTTTTAACCTCGGAGCAAGCAAGGTAAACGTTATCAATAAAGGTTATGATCTTCATTAAACTCCCAGGGTCGATAATCTCGCAACAAAAGCGGTCGCAGCACAAGTCTCAGCGTGGTGTCACTTAAACTTCCTTTATTTTTTAGGCGAACGAAAAGCTCTCACGTGTTTATGCCCATATAAAGCTTGCTCTTTACTTTTTACGATGATTTTCTCCGCTCATCGCAGCTTATTATAAAAACAATAACTGAACAAAAGTGTCAATGTCCTATGTATATATAAGCAAACCTTCTCGCTTTAAAAAAATATTATTGATTGTTAGCCGTAATGATTCATTTCATTAAACAAATAGCTACGTCATAGATAAACATTCGGGCTTTCACTTTCGAACGTTGCATGCAATTCCATTCAATTTGAAATATCCAATTGGTTCTCTAGAATTCTATAAACTTCCTGAATCGTTTAGTGTTCTTTTGAACGTAATTCGATTTCAATTATTATCAGCCATCGGAAGTGGAAATTTAACTAAGAATCACTAAGTGGCGAACAGTTGGTGATTTTTGTATCGTTCTACGGAGCATAAAATTCGATTGAGTTGTTTGATGCAGCAGGCGCGCATGTGCAGTCAGTGAAGCGCATGAAGTGAACGCATCGTTAGCCATTTTGTTAATTATTGATTCTCATCGTCTGTCAAGAATTTTAATCTCACGTTTATACACAACGATGAGTTTTGAAGAAGATATTGGGAAAAATTTCCCGCTAAACTCTTCTCGAATTGCTTATTGTAATTTTGTGGTATAGAAATGATATTAGTTCTTTTTCAATTTTTACTGTTAGTTCACTCTCTCCCTATATATATATATGGAGTGGTGTTTTTTTGTTTTTTTTATTTCCCTATTATGTCGAAAATTTCTGCTGTACGGGGAAGGTTGGATCCATAAAGCATTGCTAACCTAATTCGCTGGCCTAATTCAGCGACAGCTTTAGAAATCATAATAGGTCTCCAGTTTAGTCCAAAGACTTTTTTGTATCTACATTTGTTGTGTCTGGTGAATTCCAATTTCTTCCTACTTTAGCACTGTAGGTTCTAGTACTTCTTCACTTTTATTTTATTTTACTATATATATCTTGTTCAAATTTTCAATCGTTAATAAAGTACTTTCTATTCATCCATTCAAGTTCAAGTACATTTTTTAAACTTGTAGTGGAGGACATTTTATGTTCATACATTTTTCAAATATTAATTCATTAATTAAATTAAAAAATGAATAAATATTAACAAAAATAATAGTTCAACAGTATATATAGAAAGGAAAACCCCGTTCGTTGTGTCCCTGAGGCGCAATGGGTAGCGAGTTGGACTTTTAATCCAAAGGTCGTGCGTTCGAATCCCACCTGATATAGCCTAATTTCTGAGAATATTGTTTCATTTTTACTATACTATTTTATTAGAATAATTAAATTTAATTAATGAATGAATAGTAACAACAAACAAAATATAGTCCAACACCCTACATAGAAAAGAAAATGGAAAATTGCAAGGATAGTCGCTTTCTATTTTTTCACTTAATAGTGTGATTCTGTCGTAAACGTATTTATACTAATTGTAACTATTTAATAAAAAGTAACTATAAAATAAAATTTTTCTTTGCTGACCTAAGTAAGAATTGACTTAATAATTTTATTTATATTGCTTGTTATATATTTATAACAATTTATCTGAAGAGACAATTAAAAAAAAATTTGTATAATTTTTTGAAAAAAAGATTCTTTTGGAATAAAGCTTACTAAAACTTATTAAATTTGAAGTTAAATGTTTGAAAACTGTTCAGTGTTATAACAGATCTCAATTTTTTTCTAGTTTTTTTTGCTGAAATTTTTGTTTAAACACAATTTTGTACAATATTTTAATAATTGAAATTAGATATGCTCGTATTTGGCTGTTTTTTTCACTCATATGCCTTTTTTTTTAAAAAATAAAATCACAAGAAATGAGTTCTTATTGATAAAATGTTCCAATTTCTTGCGATGTAAGAAGTCATTGAAATGTAAAAGTTAAAAGTTATGCAACTTTGATTCGAACTCTTTTGAAGTCATTTATCCACTAATACTACAAACACCAAAAATTACAAATTTTGTGCAATGGTCCGACTTTATGCAAATGAATTGCAATTTTGGTCCAAATTTATTGCAATATAATAAACGGCATTGAATTTGATTAAATAAATATTTTCCAGATCTTATAATTTTATAACAAAAAGCAATTTTCCAAAGTTAAGATATTTCAAAATATTTAGTAGTATTATATTTTTAATTTATGATTATAGAGAGAAGTTATTCTTTTGTTTAACTGAGACAATTTTAATCCGCTAATTGACTAAATTTATGTGGCGTCATAGTCACACGATAGCTGCAATTACGTTTTTCCAGCCAATCAGTTCACGCTCTGTGCTGTTGCCAACTTTTGCTTTTTGCAGAAATTTTCTTTTAAAAAATGTGTATTTATCAAGAATAATAACGCACATAGCTAGCAAAATGCGCTTGATTTAAAAGTACACGTATAATGTATTAATTTTTTTTCGTTTTGAAAACTTTTTAAGTAATAAAGAAATTTGGAAGTTTTCATCCAGATATATCCAATATGCAATTTTATCTAAAATTTACAAACAGAGCAGTAAGTACAAATGCAATAGAACTTTGAACTCAATGGAGACCCCGTGATTGCATTTATAATGTGACTATCATGAATTTCGCTCATGGGTTCCGATGTACAACTGTTTTAACTTAAGAATTTTGTTTGATAAGTATCTTAGTTCAGAGGAAATGTGTATTTAACATTATTTTGCTTATCTAAACTTATTATCTGAGAAATATACCAAAAAGTAGGCAGTAACGTGTGTAAACACTGTGCACTCTTTACTTTATAACTCGTTCTTTACTTAAATTATTCTGAATAACATTAAAAAAATGTTCGAATCTATTACAATCAAATATGATCTCACAGAAATTTCAACATAAGATATTTTACAAATCTGTAATCAAAACGAATAATTATTTATTGCAAAGCGTAATCAAAAATATCGTTTGGTTACATCTCCGATTAATCGATGATAATATCATCAACATATCACGATCGCGCAATATTGCAGTCTAAATCTCTTTTTTTATATTAAAATATTAATGGAATATATATATTTTTATTATTTTTTACATTTTAGCTTACAGTTGCTCAAGAAAAATGGCTGTAGGTGCAAATTATTGAAAAATAGACGAGAAAGAAAATAATCTAGAGGCCATGACACTGAAAGTTTAACATTATAATCCTGAAAAATGATGATGGGTTAGCCTGTTGAGAACGAATTATTCATAAGATTGAATTCAAGCTCGAAAGGTAATAAGCAAAGTTCAGAGAAAACATTAATTTCCCAAGAAACTCGTAAGTTTAGATGTCGAGGTCACCCATGTGAATTATTAGATAAGTTTTCATCTTATTTACCGAAGATTTAATTTTAATGCTTTATTATTTATTATTTTGAATGACTGTTTTTAATCACTTTGAGTCGCGATGTTTTTCGAAAGACGTAGAAAATTGTAGTAGATATACCTATTTATTCGGTTGTATTAATTTTGTATTTTATTTTAATGATTTAAAGCGGATGTCAAGAAATGTTTAACATGTTTATAAATAAAAAATAAGTAAAGGAATAAATAGAATGAAAAAAATATGGTCATTAAAAAAAGGTGTACATAGTTTTAAGCAAAGGAAAGTTTATTTTGTTAAAATTATTCGAACTTTTGTGAGAAAGTAAGCTTCATGAATTTCTGAAAAATTCGAGATTAAAATATTTTTGATTATATATGGGTATAGTTAAATAATGTTGTGGCATGTATAAATTAAAGTGTACATAATTCAATATAAATTTCTTAACTGGCTAAATGTTAAAATTATTCCTTTTTAACACGCTTTTATTAGCGCCTTATTTAGTATGTAACGGAATCTTTGAACTCGATTTTTGCCCATTTTAAAAGGTCAGATTAATTCGAGATTTTGCGCACTTGTCAAGGACTGATGACAATACAAAAATTTATTAATTTTGTTCCATTGTCCTGATCGGGATCATCAGGATTAACTATTTCCCATTTCCAGATTTGGGGACTAAAAGATTAAGTTACAACCCTAAAGCGAAAACGCTCATGGTTAATACAAATACAACAAACAAAAAAGATTAATTCAGCAATAAAAAAAATTATACTTTAAAAAACTAAAAAAAACTAAAAAAACTCGCTTTTATTTTAGATCGAACTAAAAAATAAAAAATAAATTATAGTTTAAAATAACTAAAAAACACGCTTTAATAGTTAATCGAAACAAAAAGCAAAAAATAATTCTTAATATAAGAATAAAATGATTAACGAAAAAATTAATGTCATTGTGGTAAAAGCGTGGGGTGCTCGATATCAATTTTGTTATAATGAAAGAATGTAGTACAAAGCACCCCACACACGCTTTTACCACAACAACATTAATTTTCTCGTTAATCATTTTATTCTTATATTAAGAAACATTTTTTGCTTTTAATTTCGATTAACTATAAAAGCGTGTTTTTTTTTTTTTTTTAGTTTTTTAAAACTATAATTTATTTGTATTTAATTAACGCTTTATGTTTATAATATTTCAGGATTGACCTCTCAGATGGAATAGTGATTAGTGACGGTAACTGTTGGGCCGAAGGGTTCGAATTCAAATACTGGAGATGGTATGGATGTTTATAAATGTACAGTGACTGTGCATCGTGGGGGACGAAAGTCCTCTCGAGGAGTTGAGGGTGAGAGAAGAGAGATGGGAGACCCCTGGGCTACCCTCTTGGTGTATTCTCCCTCTAAATTTGAGTGGTACGTAGCCAATCACCTGCATGGTGCCCAAACCACAGCCATTTATGTCTGTCGCCCCCCCCCCCCCACCTTGCCACGATAAATTTCGTGGACCGCGATCTGCAGTTACTGGCGATCGGGTGTGATAAGAAACAACAAAATGTTTGTAATATGTGTGTGCGTGAGAGATTGTGCGTGTGCACCCGTGCATGCGTGAATGCGTTAGAATTTTGCATGAAAGTATTTTTTTTTTATTTTTCAAATCAAGGAGGTTGTTATAATGAAGGCACAAATATTTGAATTACGATACATAAGAATTTATTTCCTAAGTTATAGGAAATAAATGCTTATGTATACATTTGTTTCCTATAGTTTTATATATAATTTATAAAGTAATCCGAGAATTTAAAATATTGTTTCTCACATTCTACACATATACCGAAAGACAAAAAATTTCATTAATAACAGTTGAAGATATTTTTTCAGTAATGAGAGTTAAAATGGAAATATTTAAAAATTCAATCTTAAGCTTGATTTCTACACATATAAGAAATGTGTTTTGAGGTTGTTTTTTTTTAAATGGCTAACATGTATGGCTTGTTAAGCAACTTCATGCAGCTTCATAACACATTACTTAGTTGGTTTTATTTTTTCTTAATCTAAAAAAAACAACTTATCATTTGTATACATTTTGTACTGTAAGGGGACAGTGTCTTCCCCCCTTCTTGTTACAAATGCCCATGGTTCAGAAATTTTCACCTCGGACATTTAAAGTACCGTTAAATCCGGCGTATAACGCGCACCAATACTTTCAAGTTGCATTTTTTAATTTTTAGGTATATTCGCCGTATAACGCGCACCCTCTTTTTTTACAAAGGAATCAAAAGTGTGCGTGTACAATGCTCGTTTGTTTTTAAGTCATTTATTCGAGTTATTATCCCCGGATTTTGAAAAAAAATAGTATACTAATAGAATCAGTACCCTTTCACTTCATTAGTTATGTCATTTCTTTCAAATATATACACTCACTTCCAAAAGTTAAGCACGAAGATGTAAAATGCAAAAAAATCAACAAATACTGCTTTGATTGACACAAAATTTGGCAGTAAAGTAGCATATATATTTATACATAAAATAAAATCAATAATTATTTACAGAAATTAAAACAATATTAAATTTTTGTAAGTTATCAGATAATGTCATACTGGAGACTTAAACAGAATTATGTATAAAGTGAAAATAAACAGCATAAAATGAAAAAAAAGGGCATTAATAGGGTATATGATCCTCCCTCATCTGTATATAAAGTTTACAATTTCTAACCATGCTTTCAATTAAGTGGTCAACCACAGCAGAATTAAGCAATCGCCATTTTTCTTGTAGAGCAGTTTCCAGCTGAATAAGAGTGGCTGGGGGTGGGAAACGTGAAGATACAGCACGGCCGAGAGCATCCCAAAGATTTTCAATGGGATTAAGGTCGGGCGAATATGCTGGCCACGCCATACGCATAATCCCTTCACTCTCCAGGTAG